ACCCACACAGTAAAATGGTCCTCAGAGGGGGTCCACCAACCGACATTTCGAGCCGTCCGCCCCAAGAGACCCCCAGGAGGCCCCAGACGCCACCAAGAGGCCCCCCAGGGCCCAAGAGCGTCCCAGGAGCACTCCCAAGAGAACCCCAAGAGGGCAAAAGCAAAGATTTGCCTTAGCTTCTTGAATAGTGTCATCGTCGCTATCTTCGTCGTCGTCCCCCTTGAGGGTCGGCGACACTGGCCGTAAGGCCTTCGCAATAATGATGTCGACGAAGCAGCGAAAGCAGGAGCAAATTTGCACGCACAGTCTCGAGCAGAATCTCAGTCTCCCTGTTGCTGTTTCAAAGGCTGTCGCCACTCTTGCCGCCCATCTCTTAAACCTCTGGCCTCGGTGCAACCTGGACAGGGTGTCCTGGGTTCGCCATGCTCTCGCGGGACCTCCGAGTGACCAGGCACCTGGGCACTCCTGGGGCTGGGGTGGCAAGTTCTGGCAGTGCAGCGATTGCCTCAAGAGATCTCGCGCCTGCTGACAGATGCGCCCGTCGATTCAAGATCGATCCCAGGAGTCTCTGATATCGGGCACCGCTGCATGGTCACCGACTGGAGCGATTGTAGTTTTGTGTGTTTCTGGCAGCCGTGTTTCCTCTACACGTCTGATGATCAGCTGCGGGGTTCGGGGGACCCTGGCGGGGCCAGACCCTCACTCAAGACTCATGCTCATCCTGTAGCGGGAGGACGGGCGGACGAGTCCTGGTCCTCCTCCAACACGCGCAGGCGTGAAGCCTGGTCCATATTGAATAAAGGACTCCACCCGAAGCGGGCTGGGGTCACGGTTGATGTGGACGGCATTGACGTGTCAGTGGGGATATTCTCACCGATGCACTTGCCTGGTCAGTGCGGGTCCTTGGCAGCCGATGCCAAATGTGTATATATATATATATACAATTCTCATATATCTATATATTATGATATATATATATAAGTATATATCTTATAATATATATACACACATACACTAAACCCGTCCCGCGCGAAGCGATATCATGATGGTCGCTTCTTGCGTCTAGGGACTCCCTTGGAGGCCCTGCGCAAGCCTTGGAATCGTATAGAAGGGGAAGTGCGGAAACGCAGAAATCATGAATTCCCCTTCGGTATTCAACGATTTGTGCCCCCCAAACGCTTCCTGGGCGCTTTGCTCCCAACCATCCTGTGGTGTTGGGTCCTCGTTTTGAAGAGACGGTCCCCGCGTTCTCCTCCTCTTCCTCCTCCTCCCCCTCCTCCTCTCTACCGTCCGCATGCGTCCCGCACACCCAGTACAGCGCTTCGTGGCCCCATAGGGAGTCCCACCGAAGGCCCCAGTGCCCCCGTCCGCATGCGTCCTGAAAGCCCAATGTGGCAATCTCACCCACCCAGTGCAGCGCTTCGTGGCCCCATAGGGAGCTCCACCGAAGCCCTCCGTGGGACCGTCCGCATGCGTCCCGGAAACCCAACTCGGCACACCACCAACACAGTACAGCGTTCCCCCAGGCCCAGTGCGGCGCTTCGTGGCCCCATAGGGAGCCTCACCGAAGCAGATATCCACAAGTACGGTACCCACAACTGCGTATGGTTGGGACCTTCGCCAGGATCATTCCTGTTCCTCGGCGCTGTTCGGCGCTGTTTCTCCCAACCATCCTGTGGTGTTGGGTCCTCGTTTTGAAGAGGAGGGCGGGGGAGGGGGGGAGGGAAGGGCGAGAGAGGATGTAGGGCCGGAGGGGAGGGGTGTGCATATATAGACGTGGGACTTTGTGGGCTCATTAGTGGGTAGGAGAGTGCTGATGCAGGAGATGGTGCGGAAGACGATGGGGATGCATTGGAGACTGCGGTGGTGGATGAAGTGAGAAAAGGAGGTGTGGTCGGGGAGTTGACGGTAGGAAGAGTAGGGCAAGGTAGGGGCTAAAAGTGGACATCTTTAGTTTTTCTTGTTTGAATACTTAACAATTAGTTTTTTGATTACTAGTGATTTCTCAGCGTCCATCTCTCTACCTTTATTTTCCTCTTGTTCTTTTGTTTTCTATTTCACTTTGTGCTGGCTTTTTTTTCTCATCTGTATGGAACGTTCTAGGCTCGCCCTGGACATCAAGAGGGTGCGTCGCACGGTCCCCGTGTTCTCCTCTCTACCGTCCGCATGCGTCCCGCACACTCAGTACAGCGTTTCGTGGCCCTCCTCCCCTCCCCACCCAGTACAGCGCTTCGTGGCCCCATAGGGAGCCCCACCGAAAGTCCCAGTCCTACCGTCCGCATGCGTCCCGCACACCCAGTACAGCGCTTCGTGGCCCCATAGGGAGCTCCACCGGAGGTCCCAGTGCTGCCGCCCGCATGCGTCCCGCACACCGAGTACAGCGTTTCGTGGCCCTCCTCCCCCTCCTCCCTGCGATTCACCCACCCAGTACAACGCTTCGTGGCCCCATGGGGAGCCCCACCGAAGGTCCCAGCGCTACCGTCCGCATGCGTCCCGCACACCCAGTACAGCGCTTCGTGGCCCCATAGGGAGCTCCACCGAAGGTTGCGTCCCGCACACCCAGTACAGCGTTTCGTGGCCCTCCTCCCCCTCCTCCCTGCGTTTCACCCACCCAGTACAGCGTTTCGTGGCCCCATAGGGAGCCCCACCGAAGGTCCCAGTGCTACTGTCCGCATGCGTCCCGCACACCCAGTACAGCGCTTCGTGGCCCCATAAGGAGCCCCACCGAAGGCCCCAGTGCTACCGTCCGCATGCGTCCCGCACACCCAGTACAGCGTTTCGTGGCCCTCCCCCCCCTCCTCCCTGCGTTCACCTATCCAAAACAACGCTTCGTGACCCCATAGGAAGCCCCACCGAAAGTCCCAGTGCTACCGTCCGCATGCGTCCCGCACGCCCAGTACAGCGTTTCGTGGCCCCATAGGGAACCCCACTGGAGGTCCCAGCGCTACCGTCCGCATGCGTCAAGCACACCCAGTACAGCGTTTCGAGGCCCTCCTCCCCCTCCTCCCTGCGTTTCACCCACCCAGTACAACGCTTCGTGGCCCCATAGGGAGCCCCACCCAAGGTCCCAGTGCTACCGTCCGCATGCGTCCCGCACGCCCAGTACAGCGCTAGTGCCCCGTAGGGAACCCATTCGTTGCCCCATAGGGAAGCCCCACAGGAGGTCCCAGTGCTACCGTCCGCATGCGTCCCGACCACTCATTTCGGCGCTTCGTGGCCCCATAGTGAGCCCCACCGAAGGATCCCCAGCCTACCGTCCGCATGCGTCCCGCACCCCAGTACAGCGCTTCGTGGCACCCCATAGGAAGCTCCCACCGAGGGTCAAATTTGCTACCGCCCGCATGCGTACCGCACACCCAGTACGCGGTTCGTTGTGGCCCTCCCTCCCCCTCCTCCCTGCGTTTCACCCACCCAGTACAACGCTTCGTGGCCCCATAGGGAGCCCCACCCAAGGTCCCAGTGCTACCGTCCGCATGCGTCCCGCACGCCCAATATAGCGCTTCGTGGCCCCATAAGGAGCCCCACCGAAAGTCCCAGCGCTACCGTCCGCATGCGTTCCGCACACCCAGTACAGCGCGTCGTGGCCCCATAGGGAGCCCCACCGAAGGCCCCAGTGCCCCCGTCCGCATGCGCCCCGGAAGTCCAATGTGGCATTTTCACCCACCCAGTGCAGCCTTTCGTGGCCCCATAGGGGGCTCCACCCAAGGCCCCAGTGCCACCGTCCGTGTGCGTCTGGGACATGAAATTTGGCATTTCACCCGCGCAATGCAACGCTTCGGGGCCCCATAGGGGGCTCCACCGAAGCCCCCAGTGGGACCGTCCGCCCGCGTCCCGGAAACCCAATTTGGCATTTTCACTCACTCAGTAGAACGCTTCGTGGCCCCATAGGGAGCTCCACCGAAGCAGATATTCACAACTACGGTACTCACAACTGCATATGGTTGGGACCTTCGCCAAGATAATTTGTTCAAGATCCTCGATCTTCGAGGGTTGGAAGCGGGAAAACGTGAGGAGGAGGAAAACACTAGAAAACCATGGCAAATCTATAAGTTTGCCCTTTTTGGGCTCTCTCGGGACGGCTCTCGCAGCTCTCTTGGGCTTTTCTTGGAGCCTCGTCGGGGTCTTTTTGGGGCCTCTCAAGGATCGTGTGTGTGTGTGTGTGTGTGTGTGCGTGCGTGCGTGCGTGTGTGTGTGTTGCGGGCCTCTGGGTGGTCCCGGAGGCCTCCCAGCGCTCTCTGGAAGCCTGCTGCTCGCGCTGTTGCGCCTATCTTGGGCCTGTTCTGGGGTGGTCTGGGGCTGTCCTGGGCGCCTCTTCGGCAGTCTTGGAGCCTTCTTGGCCCGTCTTGGGGCCGTCCTGAGGGTCTCTTGGGTGATCGTGGAGCGGTGTTGGGAGCCTCTTCGGCGCTCTTGGACCGTTGGAAGCTCGAAAAGGCGAGAAGCCAGAACATCGAAAACATATCTACATGTATGTATATATATATATATATATATGTACAGAGAGATGTCTACATGTCTATATGTATACATGCATACACACACACATATATATATATAATATATATTCTATTATATATATATAAGGCGTGAATGCCAACCCATAAATACATGCATATGCACATTATTAATGTACTATATATATATATATATATATCTATATATATATGTATAATTATATATGTATATATATACATATATATATATATGGATTTTGCGGAGAGGGGCCGCGTGGCTTGACCTTGCGCGTTTTTTACGCGGCACTGCGCGGGCATTTACGCAGGGTGCTGTTCTCAAGACGGCTGTGCCCGTAGTTAGTGATAGGGCTACGACTCCTCAGGAACGGCCGTGCGACCTGACCTTGCGCGATTCTTACGCGGCGTTACGCAAGCATTCGCGCAGGGTTCTGCTCTCAGGACGATGGCCGTTCCTCTTTTTATACAAGGGCAAAGACATATCTTCTGTCGTGCTGCTACCCAGGGACGAAGTGCAGGTCCCATGGCGGCTCACGAGAAATGTGATAGATCGCCCGGCGGGTCCCACACCCAGCCTTGGTCGTAGAGGTCGTCCGTGCACCCTCGACTGGCCTTGTCCACCGGGTTGTCGTGGGTATTGACATACTCGACCCACAAATGCAGTCGTCGCCGGTGGACAATCTTCCACGTGGCGCGCATCACGTTCTTCAGATCTGCGTTCACGCTGTTGCCTTTGATCAGCGCGTGCATGGCGTTCGCGTTGTCCACGAAGTGGATCCAGAGTCGATGCTCCAGGCCTGGCCACGCGGCTAAGGCAAGCAGTGGCCCCGCACCCTCGATTGGAGCTATGGCGTTGGAGGCGTGCTGCGCCCACTTCGCCAGCGCGTTCTCTGGGGCCCTCGTCGCCGTGATGCGGGGGCTTTCGGCTGGCTCTGCTGGTTGCCACATTGCCGCGGCGACGTTGCCCGAACCCTCACCGTCGCTGATGGTGGCGACCAGGGGCAAGCAGGATATGTCGCACAGAACGCGGCGCCGATTTTCATGGACGAGTGCTTCTTCGAGCCACCTGAACATGGCGAGCATGGCGCCGTTGACTCCGAAGAAGTTTCCGCTCCTCTGTCGGGCTCGAGCGCACCCAGTTGAACGAGCCGCGCAGCGTCGAGGCGTCTGCTGCTGTCACCCTCCCTGTAGCTCGGTGGGCGCGGATCTGAGATAGCAGCTTGTCAATTTTGGCCTCGCAGAGCCAAGCTGTCGCCTCAAGGCCCAACCGGTGCTCCACGCCACGCAGGCGAAGGTGCTCGCTGGGTGGTTTGCTCTTGCTTTTGTCGCACCTCCAGCCGATGAGGCCCATTATCTCCAACACGAGAGCATGGGAAGGTTTGGCGGTATGTTCCGGCTCGATGTCCCACATGTCAGCAAAGCAATGGCAAAGCAAAATGCCCGAGCACACTCTCACGAAATAACTTATGAAATGTGAATGTTCGACGAAGTTCGTCTGGGCAGCTTTGTTGCCGAAAATCCCTCCCAGCGGCCTCACCCACTGGACCCGCTCAAGTTGGGGATTCCACACCAGTTCGTAATGCTATGGAGCATGTCCTGGCCATAGCGGGTCTTGCCGGAACGCCATCTCCCAGTCGATGCGGAAGCCTTGGAGGCGCGCGTTGTTGGGGAGGGCATCTCTGAGGATGCGCACCACCGCGTGTGCCGATGAAAAATCTTCAGGAGAATACTTCTCGCACAGCGTGGCGGCGTCGTTTCCCCCAGATGCTTTCCAATCAGAAATGTTACGACACTTCCACGCGCCGCCCTCCTTGAGCCCCCACTTGGGCCACCGGGGAGCCAGGCATGCCCTATCCAGGTCAAGTTCTGCAAGCCCGCCTGGCCCTTCGCAGCACCATCGAAAGCTCAGCTAGTTTTTTTTTTTTTTTTTGTTTTTTTCTTTCTTCTTCTTCTTCTTCCACGCCTTCTGGTCGAGCGAAGTGCCCCCCGAACTTCGCATGCCTCGGATCATGCGTTCGTTCCGCTCTCGCGGACACGCAATCCAATCTTCGATCGTAATCGCGCCCCTGTCGTGGTCCTCGGTGAACGCGCCGCTCGGCGAGATCTCTCCCAAGCAAGGCTTGCCGCGCATCAGCCGGGCGACGTAATCGGTGCCGCTGTACTTGGCGCGATCCACCATCCAGTCCAGGAGGGGTAAATGCAGGTGGCCGATTACTTTGTGGACGTCGGGGTGCAGCTTTTCGGCGCACTGCTCTCTGATGCCTGTCAGGCGCCGAGCAGCATCACGGACGGGCTGCATCTGCGTCTCTCGCCAGATGTGAAAATCATGCAGGTGGTCCAACATACTGCTGGCGGCCTGTGTCCACGCGGCAGGCATTGGCGGCGGAGCAACAGCCGGGTGCTGCAGACGAAGCTATTGCTCGAGGAACGCCTCGGGTCCGCATCCTTCCTGGATAAGCGGCTCGAAGCATCTGCCACGCGGCTGCTCGCCAAGCGCCAGCGCGCGCCCGATCCGGGCCCTCAGTCGGCGCCTGCTGGGCTGCTCAACGACGCCTGCCTGCGGGCTGTCGCTGACCGTTCCCTGCAAGCGGGCCCCGGCACCTTGCGCGGAATGTCTCCGGCCTGGGTGATCACCGAGGCTGTCATTAGACTCCGCGCATGGGCTGGGCATGTCTGGCCCGCCCGCCGCGGCCCCCTTGTAGTGTCTGGGGCCGGGCTCCGCAGTTCACTGCGGGCCCGAGCGGTGGTTTTTGGCCCTGCAGTGTGTGGCGCCGCACCCAGGGTAGTCACGCTCGTGTGAGTCTGGGCACGCCGCGCCCTTGCAGCAGCCCGTGGCCTTGTTGTAGAACGGGCACCGGGTCTGCCCGGTCTTCTTGTTCGCGCGCTCCAGTCCCGGCCAGTTCTCCTTGGTGAAGGCTGGGGGCTGGCTGGCCCCGGCGGCGCCGCCTGGCTTTGAAGCCTTGCGCGGCTGCTCGTCTCGGGGGGTCTGGGCGCCCTGGCCGCGGCTGCGGGCGCGCCCTCGCGGCTGCGACTCGCTCCTGGGCCGCTTCCTGTCCCCGGCGTCTGAGAACAGGTAGGCGCTCCGGCCGCGGTGGTGGGCAATCACGCCCTTGAAAGTCGTGAACTCCCTCCGCTGCCAACTCAACATCCACTTGGTGCGCATGCGGAAGTCGGCCTTGAGGAAATCGTTCGCGATCTCCGGCGATCACTTGACGTCCATGGTCTTCTCCATGAGCCACTGGTGGCACTCGAGCAGGACGGTGAGCGACGCGTTCTCGAACTCGGGGGCGGCCGCCTGGTTGTAGGCGATCATCAGCTGGAAGTGCCGCTCCCGGAACTTGGTCAAGCCCTGAACCAGCGCGCAGGCGCGCTCGGCTTGGGCCTGCACCCCGCCCTGCTTGGAGAATAACATCTTGAACAGCGGGCCGACCTCCTTCTCGAGGATGCTTTTGACGTCCACCTCGAGGCGGGGGGCGACGTCCGTGTTTCTCGCACATCCGCTTGAGCTTGCCCATGAGCCCGTTGGCTGGGAGCCACTGCGCAGGCCAGACGAAGTGGCAGTACTCCTTTACCTGCGCATCCAAGCGTTCGCGCTGCTCTGCGCCCAGGGATATGTCCTTCTCGGCGCTGTCGCCTTTGGCTGCGGCCTCCAGCTTGGCCTTCGTCTCGGCCTCCGCCTGCCGCCACGCCGACTTCAACGGCTGGCGCGCGATGCTGTCGTCGGGGTCTAATCCCGCTGGTTGGCCGACGACTTGCGCGATGTTGGACTTTGATTGAATCCGCTAAGGCGGCAAAGGCGCCGAGCTTGACGATGTTGTTGTCCACGAGAAACTTGGCGACGTTCTCGGGGGCGTCGTTGTCCGCCAGCACGTCGCGCAGCTCGGTGGACAAGGCCTTGGCGACCTCTGCGCTGTAGGAGACTGGCATCGCCCCAGTGGGGGGGGGCAGACGGGGCCCTGGCTGCAGCTCGCGGCGTTCGCTCTTGAGCCTGAACTGTACGACGCTTGCCCATGCCCCCCCCCTGCTGCCGTTGCGCGTTGGACGCACTGGCCGGGCCTGCCCGGCGTATTATTACTGCTTCAACGACGCAGTGGAGGGAAAGCACGCACAACAACATATCGAGCGCCAGTCGCACCCCGCACCGCCGGCGGAAACTCTCATCGGGAGGGCGGATCGACGCTGAAGGTACCTCGCTGCTGCTCGGGAAGAGGGAGCATCCTGGTCAGCTTTAAGATCTGCGTCCAGCTGTGGCAACAGTGCGCCTCAGGGAGGCACAAACAGGCCAGGCTCCAGCCGGGCCCCTCCCTTCACCTTTTGTAATATTGCGAGCAGCGGTTCCCCCTCGTGGCGCTGGCGAGTACCCGCGCGAACCGTCGCTGAAAGCTACTGTTGCCCCTGTGAGGGAGCATGTCTCTGATCAGTTTCAAGATCTGCGTCTAGCTGTGGCAACAAGGCGCCTCTGGGAGGCAAAGCAAGCCAGGCATGATGCAGATGTGTTTTCCTTCTCTTTTTATTCTCCTTTGATATCCATAAAAGATAATATCGAGCGCCACGCGCCCCTCGCACCGCTGGCGGAATCTCTCTCACGGGAAGACCGATCGGCGCCGCAGCTTGTCGTTGCCCGGAGGGGGGCGCATCCTGCTCAGCTTTAAGGTATGCGTCCAGCTGTGGCAACAGCGCGCCTCAGGGAGGCACAAACAGACCAGGTTTCAGCCGGGCTCCTCCTTTCATTTTCTCGAGCGATGGTCTTCCCTCGCGGCGCTGCCGGAGTGTCCGCGCGAACCGTCGCTGGGAGCCATTGTTGCCCCTATAAGGGAGCATGTCTCTGATCAGCTTTAAGATCTGCGCCCAGCGGTGGCAACGAGACGCCTCTGGGAGGCTCAAGAGGGCCCGGCTTGAGCCACGCTCCTCCTTTTTACTCATACTTTCAAATGTCATATTGCACGAGATGACTCCGTTTTTGGTTTGTTTGTTCCCTTCCTCCCTTCTCGATCGCCGCCTGGTCATCGCCACGCGGGCGCGCTGGATCTTGGCTGCGTGGAATCATGGGCCTGGCTGCGCTGTCGTGCTCGACCCAGACGAGCTCCTGGAAGAGCTGCCGCTGCTGGATCCGGCACTGCTGCGCGCTGAGCGCGGTGCGCCCAAGTCTGCCCATTCTGGCGTCTCCACGCTGCTGGTCCTGAAACACCTGTCGCAGCGCGGGTGCAGATGCAAATTTGACTGGTCATCCGCCGCCTGTTCGCAGTGAGGCAAGGTTGGACCCCGTACCTGTTTGCACGGCGGGTCCTTGTGCAGCATGCCTGTCTCGTGGTTGATCAGCGCGCGGACCGGCGGCAGCTCTGGCGGTTGCGGGGCCTGGGCCCCGGGTGCGTGAGCCGCTGCCCGCTGCTTTGCTGCGTGCGCTCTCGCCCTTAGCTCTGTCGCCGCCGCGTCTACCGTCGGCAACTCGTAGTCGCCGCCCGGGCGGAGGCCGTCCCGAAGTTTTTGCCGCGCTCGTTCCTTTGCAGCAAGCTCGGCGCAGCAGCGGCTCTGGTCGTAGCGGATGGGCATGCCGCTCGCGGGGCCCCATCGGCCCATGCTGCGCCTCTCTTCGAGAGTGAAGCCGGCCTGGCCTGCCATGCCACAAATGAACAAACGTGGGCTGCGCAGCGCGTAGTGGGGCGTGTGCCCTGCCAGGCGGTGCACGGCTGCCATCGCCATCGGGCAGTTGGCGTAGCTACCGTGGCGCACAGGGGTGGCGAACTCCAAGGAACCGTTCGCTAACGCCATCGATGGCCAGAGCCAGTCCCTCGCGGCGTCAGCGCTGTGCGGGGGGGCCCCGCCGGCATGGCTGAAGAAACGCTTGCCCCAGTCAACGCCGGTCCAAGTCACCCGCAAAGCGGCCCAGGGCACCGGCGCAGGTTTGCCTTTCGAGCGCCAGCACACAGCGCGCAGCGCGTCACGCCCGAGGCTGACGCCCGCGCTCCTGCCCAGGTCGCTGAACCGCAGGCACGCGAAGGCCAGACACAACAAGAACAGGATGGTGTAGGTGGTCGCGCCCTGGTCGTCTTCGCGCGCGCCCAGCAGGGCTAGCAGGTCCACCGCGGTCTGGTATGTGTACGGCGTCGCCTGTAAGCGGGCTGCGCTTGCATCTCTGGATGACATTTTGGCAGCGGCCTGCACGGCTGCGTCTTGCAGCGCCCACGGGAGCACCAAGGCAGCGCGTGCCCAGTCCAAGCCGTTTAGGAGCATGCGCGGGGCGCTGTTCCGACCGACGCTTGAATCTCGAAGAAAATATGCTATTTCTAGCGGCGTGAGTTTCCAGGGGTCTAGGCCTTTGCTTTCAGACCAGCTCCTGAGGCGGCAGACGGCCCGAATGTGCCCCATAAGTGTAGAAGGAACTTTGGCCTTTTGTAGAAACAACATCCTTAGTAGGCTGCGTTGCTCGGCCTCTGGAAGCACGTTTTCTTTGATCTGCCGTAATCTGGCCGACGCCATGCCGATGTCGTCGGCTAGGGCAAAAGCGAGCTGCAGCGCGTTTTCCAGCTTGCTCTTTTCCACGTCTGCTGCGGAAGCAGAGAACGGCACCGCTGCTGGAATGGCTCGGCGCCGCTTGCCTGGTCTCGGAAGCACGGTGCTTGTTTCCGCCCATTTGGTCGTTCTCGTCGTGGGAGTTTCCCTTGGGGGCGGAGAGTGTTTCCGTGCTATGTATGCGATCCGGGCCAAGGCGGCTACGATGCTGTCGGCCTCGGCGCTGGCTGTTTGCCACAGCTCTGCCGCGTGCACGTGCAGCTCCTCGTCGAGGAGGCCTGTCGCTGTAGTCATGAAGTCCTCCTCGCTGTCCCAGAAAACGGTTGCCGTCAGGATGCTGCACATGTGTAGCGCCGTAGCCATGCGGGCAACAGTGTTCGGGTGAGTTCCCCGCTTTGCAGCCACAGTGTGTACCACCCGACACATGCGAGGCGATAGTGCTCCCAGGCACTCAGGCGCACCCTCGCTCGCCATTGTCGTAAAGGCGGTGCTGTGGGCGGTGGTGGGCAGAAAGCCGCCGTGCTCGCTAGAGGCTCGAGGCCTTGAGGCTCGCGTTCGAGCCACGCCTGAGCACAAATAGCTACGGAAAGGCAGCGGGTGCAGCCGGCCAGCCGGCACTGTCTGCCATTACAGTGGAGCCTCGGATCTCGTCTGCCTGACCCTACGCGGTTGCTTACACATCCCCAGCGGGCATTTGCGCGAGGGCGTGGGGTTCGCGCTGCCTGGCAGGGGGCATTTAAGATCCTTGCGTAGAGCCCCCCCTCGGCCTCTCGAAGATTCATCCCTCCCAAGCCGTCCCCTCCAACCACGAATCTTGCGGAGAGGGGCCGCGTGGCTTGACCTTACGCGTTTTTTACGCGGCACTGCGCGGGCATTTACGCAGGGTGCTGTTCTCAAGACGGCTGCGCCCGTAGTTAGTGATAGGGCTACGACTCCTCAGGAACGGCCGTGTGACCTGACCTTACGCGATTCTTACGCGGCGTTACGCAAGCATTCGCGCAGGGTTCTGCTCTCAGGACGATGCCCGTTCCTCTTTTTATACAAGGGCAATGACATATCTTGTGTCGTGCTGCTGCCCAGGGACGAAGTGCAGGTCCCAAGTTACAGCCCACTCACTTCGTCCCAAGTTCGCTCCTGTGAGTGGGGCGGGCCACATTGTGGTCCTGTTTCCCCTCTCCCCCCGGGTCACATAGTGGTCCCATAGTGGGGGTGGGCCACATCATGGTCCCAGTGGAGCATGCTGATTTCATTCTCCCTGCCAAAGCCACATAGTGGTCCCCCGGCGGGTTGGGCCACATCGTGGTCCCAGTGTCCGGGCCACATAGTGGTCCCGTGCGGGTTGGGCGACATCGTGGTCCCCGTGGTTTTCCTTGGTGGTTTGCCGTTTTGGCTGGTGGGTCGCATCGCGATCCCATGGTGTGCCGTTTTGGCTGGTGGGTCGCATCGCGATCCCACGGTGTGCCGTTTTGGCTGGTGGGTCGCATCGCAATCTCACTGCGCGTTCGTCAGAAAGCCGCCGTGCTCGCTAGAGGCTCGAGGCCTTGAGGCTCGCGTTCGAGCCACGCCTGAGCACAAATAGCTACGGAAAGGCAGCGGGTGCAGCCGGCCAGCCGGCACTGTCTGTCATTACAGTGGAGCCTCGGATCTCGTCTGCCTGACCCTACGCGGTTGTTTACACATCCCCAGCGGGCATTTGCGCGAGGGCGTGGGGTTCGCGCTGCCTGGCAGGGGGCATCTAAGATCCTTGCGTAGAGCTCCCCCCCGGCCTCTCGAAGATTCATCCCTCCCAAGCCGTCCACTCCAACCATAGTGGTAGGGTCACATGTATACATACATATACATACATGGACACGTATATATATATATATATATATATATATGTATGTGCGTGTGTGTGAATATGCATGTACATGTACATGTATACATACAACTACATAGATATGCATACACATATAAATACACATATACATAAACATGTACATATATATATATATGCAAATGCAAATAGATATACGTGTACACATATATACGTATACGTAGATATGTGTATACACATACACTCAAATGTGCATATACATATCCGTTGCCACATACATGGTTATACACATAAACATGCACATATGCACATATATATATATATACACACATATATATGTATAAAAAATGTATTATATGTGTGTGTATGTGTGTATGTATCATCGGAGATCTGGGGCCGGGGCCTTCGAGACGTGACTGTGGCGGCCGTGGCCGTCGCGCCGCCGCGCCAGGCGCGCCTTGGGGGGGCGCTGGCCGCGGGGCCCGCCACAGGAGCAGCTCGTAAGAGCCGAGGAGGTCCTGGCGGCGGCGGTCCACGGCCTGCGCGGCGGCCGCTCCGCTCAGACACAGACTCTGGCTCGAGCCATCCCCCCCAAAGAACGTGAGGCGGGATTCCAAGGAAGCACCTGCACACTTTGGGCCCGGCGGCCGCGGCACGCAGTCGTCATGCGTCGAAGGCACGAGGCGGGATACCCAGGGAGCGCCAACACGCGTTGTGCCTGGCGTATGCAGGAGCGGAGCGGGTCGGGGGACCCCTTAAACCTAACAACATAAACCTGTCTGCTGTAGAACACGAAAAGCAGGCAGAAAAGGACAAGCAAGCAAAACGAACAACATTCGCTCCTCCTCCTCCTGTTTTTCCTCCTCCTCCTTCAGCCGCTTCTCCTGAATCCCCCGGCCAGAGCCTCCTCCTTCAGCCGCTCCCCCTCCTTCAGCCGCCTCCTTCAGCCGGCCTCCTCCTCCTCCTCCTTCAGCCGCCTCCTCCTTCAGCCGCTCCCCGCCCAGAGCCTCCTCAGAATCCTCCTCCTCCTTCTCCTCCCCCACCTCCGCCGCCTGCTCCTCCACGTCCTGCCCCCGCCCCTGCTTCGCCCCACATCCTGCATCCCCCCTGTCTCATCATCCT